CAGGTGAACTGCATATATATAACTGGATAAGATTAGAAAGATACATCTTCTGACTTCTTGAACTTTGCCAGGTTGCACAAGTCCTGCTTTGACTCATTCTTGGACATCAGTCTCCTGCTAGTCTCCTGAGCTCTGATCCCTCCTCCATCCCTCTTTTCCTGTGAGAAGTAGGCTACTTAGCAGAAGCCTCGGTCACCATTTTAACTACCCCGATTTCTCTTATTCTTCTCCTTCTCTCTCTCTCTCTCTCTACCTACACTCATTCGTCTTTGATCAGACCCCCGGTATACGCTAGTCAGCGCCCCTAGTTACACCAATCAGCGCGCGATTACCGTACAGTCAATCACAACGCGTCACGTCATTGGTAAGCGACAGACCCCGAGCAGATCTGGTAGCCCGAGCACATATGGGCCGTTTCTCAATCGCGAGGAAACTGGCTTCCAAGCCAATATTTCAAGGATACTACGTCATCGAGTGCCGCCGAAGGATTGTTCCAATCTCCAGCATACTTGGAATTCCACCGAGGCCGCGTCCTTGGTTTGGGGGTAATTTCGAGGCTGCACATGGGTAGGCTTCGCGTCCTTCGAACCCCCACAATGCTTTGCGCACAGACCAATTTCCCCAAATCTGTGGCGGAAAATGTAAGGCGGGGCCTCTCATATGACGCACACCTTCACACTTGCTAGCCTGTTCCACTCTTCGTTTTCCGAATGCCAGGAAGGATTCTTGCCTAGCTTCTGAAGGAAGTGACTCGGAAGACATGTGCTACCAAGCAAGCATCCTCGCGATTGAGAAACGGCCTAGGAGTCTCACCTGAGGGTCTAGAAGAGAGGTCTAAGACTTATCTATTAAGAACTGTATTGACAGTGGCCCTGAATTGCATCACAATTGAATGGTTGAAACCAGAACCTCCCACCTATAACTGCTGGATTCAGAGAGTGTGGGATATCCACCACATGGAGCAAATCACATTTATTACGCCTACATAAAAATATATTTATCAAGCGATGGGCCCCTGTCATCAATCTACTAATACAATAAGAATTATTAACACCTTTGCCGCTTGTATTCTCTTTCCATCATTATTATTTTTGCTTACTTACGATTATTTGTCTTATTTTCCAAGGTAGGACATCTTCATTACTTTTTTTTTTTTTTTTAACCCTGGAGTGGCACTGTATTATCATAACGGAAAATGTGAATTTTACTGTTAAATATATTGCATTGTATTATTGTTTGAAACGAAGAAAATAGTAACAACCACAATCTATGTGGTAAGAGAACACTGTTAGGCTGCTCACATGGTCTGATTTTAAATCAGGATGGCACTCATTAAAAAAGGGCCCTCTTCAAAAACATTGGTCTGGATCAGAGGAGGATCAATGACTGAAATACCTAGTGGCCTCTGTGAGTTTGCGGTGGATTTCTTCATAGGTGTCCACATTGAAGGTCCTCTGGACGAAGGTGAGGGCCATCTTCAGGGCCTCCACTCTCAGCTGAGGACAGTGCTCAGCAATGAACTGAAGCCTCTCAATGCGCATCAACCCACTGTAGCTGGTGGCATACTGCTCCAGGTCCTACACAGGGAGTGACAGGGGAAAGATCTTAAACAAGGTCATGGTCATTAATTAAAATATGACAACCTCTCCAACAGTACTTAGTCACATGGACCAGCAAAACAAATAAACATTGGTTACCGCCATTGGCGCATTTCACCTAATTAGCTGATGTGCCTTTGAGAGAAAAAAGGGCTAACAATGGCCGATATATCGGTGATTCAATATTCTAAATTGATAACAAAATGTTCTCAATAAATAATGTTGAAATTGAGAAGGTTGGAAAACTTTTTTAAACAAATTTTCTTTACAGAGAGCAGAGTACAGAGCCCTTTTGGTTCCAGTATTAACAATTCAGGTACCAGAATTGTAGGCTCAAATGTGAAGGGTCCCAGACTCTAAGAGTATTTAAATACAAGTGTTTCAGATCAGTACCAGTGTTGGGTTCTCTACAATGTAGTTGGTGTCCGGAGCATTCTGCTGGTCATCCTGGGGGTCGGCGTCTATCTGCATGGGTTCCACAGACCCCTGAAGAACACAGCAGAGGTTAGCACTTATCACAATACAACACACGATCCACATTATATATAAAAATAATTCCAAATAATACTAGGATTAAATTTAAATGTTTCATAGATGTAAAAGCTAATAGAAACTTCGAGTCAGTTTTAGATGAGTGCTCCAAATAATTAAGTACAACTATAAAACTGCTTCAAGAGCTTGTTTGGTAATAATAGCTGTCAATACATTGGAGAATGTTGGTGTGAGAAATAATTGTATTGGAAAATAATTCACAATGGATATAAAATATTTGTACTAATTTCAACAGTTTTTCACAATCTCTTTAGCCTCCCTGTTCTACACAGGGGGCTTTGCGCATGCAGTTTTGCATAAGCGAACCTATCTCTTGCTCTGACATCTGGAAACGGAAAAGCAGGTTTATTGCTTATGGATTATCAGAAATCATTTCAAAGGGACACAGACACATTGGATTAACCTATGGATTAACCTTCAGCAGCGTTTTTATCTTTTTAATGCCATTGAAGACCACTTTTGACCAGACAACGACCAAGGTGAGCCATGTTGCCGTTTTAGCTACCTACTACCACATGTTTTTATGTCTGTTCTTGTTAATAGCTTCGCGAGTTCTTATCATGGAGTGATGATGTACAGTTGCAAGAAAAAGTATGTGAACCCTTTGGAACTACCTGGATTTCTGCATAAATTGGTCATAAAATGTGTTCTGATCTTCATCTAAGTCACAACAATAGACAAACACAGTCTGCTTAAGCTAAAACCACACAAACAATATGTTTTTTTTGAACACACCATGTAAACATTCACAGTGCAGGGTGGAAAAAGTATGTGAACCCTGGGATTTAATAACTGGTTGACCCTCCTTTGGCAGCAATAACCTCAACCAAACGTTTCCTATAGTTGCATATCAGACCTGCACAACGGTCAGGAGGAATTTTGGACCATTCCTCTTTACAAAACTATTTCAGTTCAGCAATATTCTTGGGATGTCTGGTGCGAATCGCTCTCTTGAGGTCATGCCACAGCATCTCAATTGGGTTGAGGTCAGGACTCTGACTGGGCCACTCCAGAAGGCGTATTTTCTTCTGTTGAAGCCATTCTGTTGTTG